GCTTGGAGCTGGAGAAGAAAGGCAGGGACTGGGGGAGCAAGAGGCTCCTGGCTGGCTGACTTATAGGACTGAACCAAAGACAGTTTGCTAGCTGGGACTGGGGGAGCAATGAAGGAGCTCCTGGCTGACTGCTGGGACTGAGTAAGGACTGAGCCCAGCCAGAGGGCTGCAGGAACACAGTATCTCCAGGGAAGAAGCCCTAGGGATATGGCCCCATACCAGGGCTGGGACTTCTTAAAGACTGAGCCCAGGGAGGGCTAGAGAGACACTACCAGAGGGGTACTGAGATAAGTCCTGGTGGACGGTATACCCTGGAAGAGGTCTGTTCTAATTCACATGCAGACAGTGTGTAAGACTTGGCCGAAGGGCTGAGTCACTGGAAAACAAAACACAACAAAACCACACACCTGACAACCAACGAAAGGGGTCACCAAAACTGAAAGAACGCGGACACACCCAATCAGAAGGGGGCACTTGTGAGAGGTGGGTGCTGACCCCATTACACAGAGTGTATTTTAAGAGATGTATCCACTATGATATAACAGAGATAACATTTGGGCCTAATTGCAATAGCTGAAGCAGTTTTAATGTGTGACATTAAAGTTTCACAAGAGCTTTTTAAGAGAGTGTATTCCTGTAGATTTTTTCCCGTAGCAATATAGTACTAAGGGTGTTTGAAATCCTACACTTGAGAAGTCTTATACGGTATAGACTTTCTATTGTTTAGAAACATTCAACTGTACAATCAAAGTGCTGCTTTAGTTCTGTGTTCATTATTTTCTTCATGTGGGAATACTTAAATTCATTTTTATTTAAAAAACTGCTGCTCAACTTCCTCACAATTCATACAAGCTTCATGTCTAGGTCTTCAATGCACAGAGATTAAACCAATAGCGAGATTTTAAACAATGGGAAATACAAGAAATGGGAGAAAGAGGAGAGTCGGGGCAGGGCCAGTTGCTCTCCTCAGCATTGTTCCCCTTCCCAACCGTCACACAAGCAAGACATCCCAGTCCAAAATAATGGTGATCCAATCTGTATTATCATGCAGGGCATGGACCAATCTATTCTGAACCCTGGAGGATTCATTTCACCGGGAAGCTGAAGAACACCTCTTTCAAGATTAGACTTCCATAGAACTAGGAAGATCCAAAAATTTAAGGAGCAGGGTCGAATTCCCCCACCACTTCAATGGGAGCCACCTCTGATCCCCAGAGGCATCCAACAAAAAAATTCTGGGGAAACCCCCCAAGTGGGAAGGCACAAAGTGTCTCATGTGGGGGGTTTTCCTGAACATGAGTTAATCATTGTTCGGATTACTAAGGCTTCACGATAAAACACAGAAGTACTGGACTGCTAATCACATGGATTGTGACATGGAGAACCACATGGGGATCTTGGAGTTGTTTTTTTAAAATGTGAGCCCTGAGAGAACCATAAGCTATACCTATTGGTGTGGCACTCTGTCCCCCTCTAGTGGTGACTAGGCTAACTAGAGATTGATGAGCCTGCTACGGCCATAGCTAAGAGGCCTGGATCTTTTAACTCAGGCAGCACATGTTCATGCATTGAGATTCAAAGATCCCAAATTCAATCCCCGCTGCTGACAACCCACCCAGGGTGTTACATAACTTCATGAGGATCCCAAGCAATAGAAAAATCCCAGAGTCCCATTAGTTCACTTAGCTCAACTGCTTGACAATAAGGGGGGCTGCAATATAATGTGCATATATTCCCAGATTTTTGGAGCTTGAGGGGTGCGCTGAGCATTGAGATTTGTGGTTGGGATCAGTGGCTGGAATGTTTGACTCCTCCTTGCTTTAGGGAAGGTTAGTGGGCAAAGATGCCCAGAGTCCTCCATAGGCACTTGTTAACATTTAGTATAATTTTGTGTGTGTTGCAAAAGGCACACTGTACTGACAATAGAGACAATGAAGTATTTTAAAAACCAAAGATTCAAATGTATGCATGTATGTAAACACACACAAAATTTAAAAACACAGTTTAAAAGTAAATATGTTCTAAAAATAGAAGGAAGATTATTCAATCTGTGCAGGCCAAAATTCAAAAGCGTAGTTTTACCAGATACGAACTGTACATTAATCTTTTCCACAATTAAACCTTTGTTACCAAGCTAATCCAACACAAAAATTCTCTCTAAAGAAACTTTATCCTTAGAACATATAAGGAGACCCTTTTAAGAGTGATAACAGCATAATCTTCTCAGCATGGTATTAGATTTATAATATGACTTCTGCAGTTGAACTTTGTCATCCATTATCTATAAAGTGACAGTTAATATCAATTTAAATTACAGCACTTTGCTTTACATACTTAAGATAAAGTTTTCAGCTTTGACAAAAGTTTCTAGAAAATAGAAAAGGGAAAAGTGATTCAGTGCTAAATGGTTCCTCACCAGCAACTTTCAAATCATTTATATGCCAAGTGAATTTTAAACAAGAAAATACCATCTAATTAACCTTAATCTCACAATATTAACAAAGGAAGCATGTCAAATGAACAAATATTTTAACAGTTTAATAAATCAAACTGTCTTTGTAAATATTTATAAGAAATCTCCCAATTTTTCCCCCACTTAAAGAAAGATTAAGTGGTTTGCAAAACAAATCAGATTACTGTTTGTTTTCTATATTATTTTCCACACTCCCTTTTGAAACAAGAAAAGCTAGACAGTTTGGTGAATAATCATCACTACCATATAGGACACTGGGTAAAGGGAGAAAGTAGGCCTCTCAACTAATGGAAGATCAATATCAGGCGAAGTATTACATGGTTGAGGTGCTACATTTTTTGCAGGATGGATATCATCATGGGAACATCAACTTTCCCAATGAAAATGAGACACTGTGCTCATTCTGTGGTAAAGATTGGTCCATGTTGACCCCACCTCCACCATGAATGAGAAGGTAGAAATGAAGTTAGCTTGTACTCAAGAGTCAGAGAAGGAAGATGAGCACTACAAATCCAAGTGGAGGCACAAATGATCATGGATAAGGAACTTAGACTATTGTACATGGAATTTCTAATGGCTGCTTTCTGAAGTACTTCAACTGATTTAGGCAAGAGCTTATGAAATTTTCTCTTTGGGCTGGTCTACACTGGGGGGGGGGGGAGAGAATCGATCTAAAATATGCAACTTCAGCTACGCGAATAGCATAGCTGAAGTCGAAGTATCTTGGATCGAATTACCTGGGGTCCACACGGCGCGGGATCGACGGCCGCAGCTCCCCTGTCAACTGCGCTACCACCACTCACTCTAGTGGAGTTCTGGAGTCGACGGTGAGCGCGTTCAGGGATCGATATATCGCGTCTTAACGAGACGCAATATATCGATCCCCGATAAATCGATTGCGACCCGCCAATACGGCGGGTAGTCTGGAAGTACCCTTTAAATATATATTTTATAAAATCTAGACAGACTTGTCCAGTAGTTTCTAAACCCTGAAGCTGCACTCACACATAGCAATGAATTACCAAATTAAAATATGTAATGTTACATACTTTGGCTTCTTTGGCAGTAGCTTCTGGTCCTGAATGTGCATTCTAAATGCATAACTCCAACTGAAGTCAAGAATTACTCATAATTACTTCAATACTGCAATAATCCCCATATATGGCAGGAGAGAAAGTGGGGAGGAAAGAAGCCAGAGCATTAATTTTAATAAATCCTGGCCTGATTGAAGTCCATGGCAAAACTCCCTCCAATATCAATGATGCCAGAATTTCACTCAGTTTCTAATTTTTTTTTTAAATTAACCACTTTCTCAGAAACACTGACGCACAAAAAAAACGTTAGTCATTCAGTGTCCTACGTTCCCCAAAAGAACATGAGCATGAGGCACACTACAGGGTGCTGTAGTGAACAGGGCACTGGGGTAGGACTTAGGAGTCTCTGGCACTGCACTGCTACGTGACTTTGGCCAAGACACTTCACTCTCTGTGCCCGTTTCCTCTCCAGTCGGTTCACCTGTTTTGTCTATTAAGATTGTAGACTCTTGATGGTAGGAACCAACCTCTAACTATGTGTTTGTACAGAGTCTCAATCTCAGCTGGGGCCTTCAGGTGCTAACATCTACAAATCACAACAGCTGGATAAAATGCTGACATAGACCAATCAATGTGCAGCTCATGAAAGAAGGTTAGAATTCCTTGGCATTTTCATTACTTGAAAAATCACTGCTGATAATTTTATGATTCAGTTACACTTTTTAAACGATCTTTGAATTACTTGCCTTTTCTAACCAGATAATTAAATTGCAGCACTGGTCCTTCAGTGACACCAATTAGCCAACATTGCAAATATAGGGACACAGGACTGGAAGGAATCTCCTGGGTCATCAACTTCAGTCCATTCCCTGCTACGGCAGGCAACCCTGCCACATAATCCAGTTAACAAATCTATCAAGATCCATCTTAAAACTAGTTAGGTTGTTTGCTCCCAATACTCCTATTGGCAGGCTGTTTCAGATCTCACTCCTCTACTAATATCCAGCCTAAATATATTCATGGCCAGTTTATACCCATTTGTTCTTGTACCAACACACTCTTACAGAAATAGCTCTTCTCCCTCCCTGGTGTTCACCCCCTTGATGTATTTAGAGAGCGTAATCATATTCCCACATCAGTCTTCATTTTGCTAGGCTAAACTAGCCCAGCTCTTTTAGTTTCTTCTTGTAAGACAGGTCTTCCATTCCCTTGATTATCCTTGTAGCCCTTCTCCATACCTGTTCTAATTTGAATTCATCTTTTTTGAACATGGATGACCAAAATTGCACTTAGTATTCCAAATGAGGTCTTGACAGTGCCTTGTACAATGGCATTAATACGTCCCTATTTCTACTGAAAATTCTCGCCTGCTATATCCTAGGATCACCTTTGCTTTTTCATGGCCACATCATTTTGGTGACATTTTATATTCCCCAAAACACTGCATAGAAGCTAAAAGCTAGAACCTCCTTAGGAACAAAGTGTAACTTTACCTTATACAACTGTAGTGTTTGAAAGTACTGGCTGCTTTCTGGCATTCCAAGCACAATTGAATAGCTCCTGGATAGTCCTCCTCCTTAGGAAAAAAATGCAATAGATAGCTAATGTAACTTCTGAAGCAAATATTGCAACATACATTTTTAGACTAAAATTAAATGGAACTGTATGGGAAAAAAACAATGCTAAAGAGATCTGTGGTAAGCATGCTACTTGAGAGGAATGTTTTCTTAATATATTACATCAGAGTCTGCTTTTTCCCCCCACTAACGATTACACCAATTATATATCACGAGCTTCAGAGAACTTAAGTCATAGATTACAAACGAAAAATGCAAAAGGACAACTTATAAACTATTTGTTATCAGCTACTATAATAAAAACATCATTTCAGAATACCGATTCTTCTGCAGGCTCAAATTTAGCTACAAAAAAAAATGTACGTTCAACTATTCATAACCACTATAACAGAAGGACAGGACACTTAAGATCAGTATCCCAATCGTCTTTTAAAAACTGCTATACTCAGATGAAGTAAGCTATTCAGTGCCATAGAGTAAAAATATATATAAGCACTACTTTGACTGGAACCCTTAAAACGCTATGGAATAAATTCAGAGGTGAGTCTAGAAGAAGTCTAAATTTATGGAATCTATTCCTCTTTCCAGTCCTTGATCAGCTTAGACCAATTTACAGTGCTCTATATATCACCTCTAAATTTGGCCCACTAAGCCTGATGGAACTCTAAAGTCATGCAATTCACATGCAAAATTGCCAGAATAGAAGGATGTAGCAACAAAAGCAAGTAAAAGTAGGTCCCAAACAACAAAAGTAAAAGTAAATACGCCTCACATCTATTAAACAATTTAGACTCCATTACTCCCACTTACTTGAGCCAAATACTTAAATGTTATAAATTCATTGACTTAAATGGACCATTGACCAGGTGTGAATCTGGCCCACTTGTGTTTAAGTTACGCCATTTTACTCATGAATTTAGACTTGTGTCAGATTCAGAACTCGCCATGTAGGCACAATTCCAAAGCTTATAACGTATCTGAATATAGTTCTATATTTTCATGTTTCCTACACAGAGCCCTCAGATTTTTTTTAAACCCACAAAATTCAGAAGCTGCAAACTTTTTTCAAAATATAAACATGCAAATTCAGTAGACTGACACCCACTTTACTTATTTGTTTTTGCAAAAGTTATACATTAGACACCATACATTAGATCATACCATATGTCAGACAAATCTAAGTTATATAATCAGTTTTTGCAATGCCACAAGGCAACAATCTCCAAGTTTGGGAGCAATACAGCATAAGTCGTTCACAAGGCTGACCTCTTTTAGTAATGCTTATGAAATATCTTCTGCTCAAAACACTCTCCTTGAGCACCAGAGATGGTAACCTGATTCCATCACAGTTAGACTTGCTGAGCAGATATCCTTTCATCCAGAGTAAAGAAAATCCAAGGAATACGTTCTCATGGTATGCCAGGATAATGAGTGCAAGACTTCGTATTTTGATGAATGAATTCCTTAGTGTCTGTACTAACATTTACTGACATTTGCTGGGGACAGAAATTCCCTTCTTGGAATAAGACGATTTAAAAAGTGCTCAGTGACTTTTCAGCAGGCCCATGCAGGAGTTTCAGATGGCTGATGCTTTACATTCCACACCTACTGTGAAGGTTTACTGTATGAAAATAAGGGGTTAATTCAAGCAGGAGCCAATGCAGGTACATGGAAAAGTGGACAATGACTTCAGATACCCCAGTTTACCAACTTTAAGGTAAATTGTCATTAGCTCTCAAGTTTGACCTCCACCCATATTGAGTTAAACAGCTTGTAAAAACTGGAGGGAGAATCCAGGTGGGAAAAATTGAAACAAAGAACTTTGGGGTGGATAAAACAAATGGACCCTGAAGGAGAAGGGAGCGAAGGCAAAGACTGAACTAAACCCCAGTCCGCAGAGGCTGGTGCGTCTGCTTTGTTCCCACTGTTGAGATTAAATGATATTTTGATTTAGGAAGGCTGTGTTGGGTCACTGTATTCACCACCAGTCACATCTCCAAAAGCAAAAGACTTGAAGATGCCAAATCCATCCAGACGTGCTGAGCAATTACGGTTGTTACACAGAGTGCTCTACTCTGGGGACCCACCATGAGAGTCAGAGAACTGTAGAATTCCACTCTGAGACAGAACAGGAGTACTTGTGGCACCTTAGAGACTAAGGAATTTGAGTATAAGCTTTCGCGGGCTACAGCCCACTTCATCAGGTGAAGGTGCAGGGCCTGTCACCTCACAGCGTGCACTCAGAAAAACCTGACGAGACAAAGGTGCAGTTGGCTCTGCACTGCAGCATTTGCCTCTCTGCAACTGTCTCCTATTGCAATCCTCTTACCCACTCCATTCTACCAACGACACCCTCTTTTCATTTTCCACTCATCTGTACACTCCTCCATGCTCTTAATGGAAGGCCCTCCCCACCTCTGTTCACCAAGCCAGAACCTCTCCTCATTCAAATCCCTCCTGAAAACCCAATTTCTCCATGTTGCCTACAAGTAGCAAGTTAAACTATATAAAAAAATTAATGGAATTCTCAAAACGTGCATACATCCTGGAACCTTGAAACCCCTTGAGCTTCCTCACACTCTGCTGGCCGCCCCCACCCACTGGGGGGCGGGGGGAGAAAGAGAGTAAAAAACACAGCTGAATGTCACATAATCAATCTATTCCCATCTGTAGCAGAGCCTGTACAGTACAT